ACGAGTCCGACCCTGCGGAAGACGGGGTCAGAGCCACCGGGGAGAACAGAACCCAGGAGTCCAGGCTCCCAGCCCCCCCGCTCCAACCACCAGACCCCACTCCCCTCCCAGAGCCGGGGAGAGAACCCAGGAGTCCTGGCTCCCAGCCCCCCCAGCTCTAACCCACCAGCCCCCACTCCCCTCCCAGAGCCGGGGAGAGAACCCTGGTGCCCAGCCCCCGCGGTGGCGTACGGCGGAAGCTGCCGTCCCGTTCACGGTCACGGTCCCTCTCGCGGTCCCTCTCCCGGCTCCGCTCCCGGCTGCGCTCCCGGTCGTAGTCCCATTCGAAGGTGCGCAGCCCCTCGCCGCGCTCCGGCTCCTTCTCGGGGTCCCGCTCATCCTCCGGCTCCTTCTCGGGGTCCCGCAGGCGCTCACTGGAGCTCACGAAGCTGCGGCGGGGCGGGATCGCACGCTGGGGTTATGGCAGAGTCGCTGGGGAGCTGCCCCGGCCAGGCCAATACGGCGGGGGGGCGCATGGGGCGGTCACGCGAGGGGCGGTTATGGGGCAGCGCTCAGGACCCCGGGGTGGTTACGGGAGGGGAGTTTGGGGCAGTTACGGGAGGGGCACTGGGGGGCCCGGGGCGGTTATGGGAGGGGAGTTTAGGGCAGTTACAGAGGGGTGCGAGGGGCAGTTACGGGAGGGGGGTGTGACGAACTGGGATTGTTCTTACTGTGGTCTTTGAATGCTGAGTGGGGAGTGTGGCTGGGAAGGCAGGGGAGGTTGGCTAGGACGGTCTGCATTGGGGGATGGGAGACTGGCCTTGAGGGAAGATACCTGAGCATGTAACATGAGAACCCAGGAAGGGGTTAGAGGCCAGGTGACACCTTTGCCCGGGAAACTGAACAAAGGCTGTGGGAGGGGTCGCTGAAGGGAGAGTTTCAGGAGCTGGCTGGGGAGCTGGCTGGGGAGCAGACGGGGCTCTGGCCTCCCAAGGGGGCTGTGGGGCCCTGGGACCCCAAGATGGACCTAACTGGGGGGGATCCTGTTGTCTGTGCCTGCAGGACTTGTCTTGGACTGTATTCCTGTCGTCTAAATGAACCTTCTGCTTTACTGGCTGGCTGAGAGTCATGGTGAATCGCAGGAAGCCGGGGGTGCAGGGCCCTGTGTCCCCCCACACTCCGTGACAGGGAGTTTAGGGCAGTTACAGAGGGGTGCAAGGGGCAGTTACGGGAGGGGAGTTTAGGGCAGTTACAGAGGGGGCCTGCGGCGGTTACAGGAGGAGCGCGCAGGGCAGTTACAGGAGGGGTGTTTGGGGCAGTTACAGAGGGGTGCGAGGGGCGGTTATGGGAGGGTCTCATGTTCACTCACCTCTCATAGAGGGATTTCCGCTGGGGGCGCCGGGACTGGAGCAAACAGAAGACATCGTCATCCCCTCTGAGCGCAGCCCACCTCACGGGCTGGGAACTCCGGTGTCCGGGCCGCAGCTCAGCATGCCAAATCCTCCCCTTCACCCCCTGCCCCAACTGTTCACAACGCCCCTCCCAGAGCCAGGGAGAGAACCCAGGAGTCCTGACTCCGAGCCCCCCCTGCTCTAACCCACCAGCCCCAACTCCCCTCCCAGAGCCAGGGAGAGAACCCAGGAGTCCTGGCTCCCAGCCCCCGCTGCTCTAACCCACCACACCCCACTCCCCTCCCAGAGCCGGCGAGAGAACCCAGGAGTCCTGGCTCCCAGCCCCTCCTGCTCTAACCCACCAGCCCCCACTGCCCTCCCAGAGAACCCAGGCGTCCAGGTACCTCCTGGCATTCGTCGTCGGCTGACAGGCTGCGCTGGAAGGGCTGGAAGGTGGGGGCTGGTCCCTTCTCAGGGTCCTAGGGGGAGACACAGAGTGAAGAGGGGTCCGGGGGGGTTCTCGGCCCCATGGCACCCCCCACCCCTCCCCCGCTCACCTTCAGCTTCCCCTCCAGCGTCCGCGAGCGCTTGAACCCGCAGTTCTTGTTCTCCGCCTTGATGGCGCTGATGGCTCCCGTCTTCACCAGCATCTTGGCCTGCTCCGTGGCCGTGGCCGTGTCCACCACCGGCTGGTCCGAGATGGCTGGGGGGAGGGGCAGGGCTAGAACCCAGGCGTCCGGGCTCCCCGCTGCAACCACTAGTCCCCACTCCCCTCCCAGAGCTGGGAGAGAACCCAGGCATCTGGGCTCCCAGCTGTGACAAAGTGGGGGGGTTTCCTTGTTTTCGGTGGGGTTCCAATGGTTTGCATGCGGAGGGGGTGTGACTCAGTGTCCCTGGGTGTTACTGGTTTAACGAGGGGAGGGGAGAGGGAGTTTGTGGTTACAGAGGACCGGAGAGGGAACTTGGGACCCCAGCCAATGGCCTGGAGGATGGATACCCCAGTGACTGGTGACCTGAGACCCCGTCCCGGAGGCCCAGCTCAGGAGGTGCAGCCGGTTCTGGCCAGTGGGCGGACAATGGGCTGCAGAGTGAGGACCCAGTGACCTAACCAGCCGGTTCCAGCCAGAGGGAGAAGCAGGAGAGGAGGCCCCAGTTTACAACCCTGTTTCCCTGGAGAGAAGACAATGGACAGAGGGGGGGCCGGGGATCTCGGATGCCCAGCTGGGAAGCAGGGGGGCTCAGGGCTGGAGAGGGGGAGCAGGCAGAGCCCACCTGGATGCAGGGAGACTGGGATGTGCTGGGCTGAGGGAGGCCAGGCCTGAGGCCCTGAGAGTTTCCTGTGCTGCGTTCAACTCTCAATAACCCTCCTGTGTTACACTGGCTGAGAGTCGCTCCAGGCTAGAGAACGGGGGGGGGGCATCAACTCCTTCGGGGGGTGGAGACCCCGGGGGGTCCAGAGCGAGTGGACTCCCTGAGGGGGCCCACGGCAGAGACAGACGTGCTAAGGCTCAGAGAGGTGCGGCTCCGGGAGGTGGAGGGGCCTGACCCCGGGAGAGAGGGGACCCCCGAGAAGGGCTGTCTCACTGAAAGGGGCACCCCCCCCACGGACCGCACGGGGCCAAGAGTGGGCCCGACCTGTGAGTCCGTGACACCAGCCTCCCGCTGTAACCACCAGCCCCCACTCACTTCCCACTGCTAGGGAGAGAACCCAGGCGTCTGTGCTCCGCGCTGTAACCACCAGCCCCAACTCCCCTCCCAGAGCCGGGAGAGAACCCAGGAGTCCTGGCTCCCAGCTGCCACCCCGCAACCCCACTCTGAACCAAAGCCCCCACCCCCTCCTAGAGCTGGGGAGAACCCAGGCATCCGGGCTCACAGCGTTTAATGCCTCCCTGGCTGGCTTGGCTGGTCGAACTCTGTTGCTTCTTTAGAGCCAGAAGAGCCTTTTTCTGGGGGTCGAAACGGAAGAGAGTCAGTCGTGGGGCAGTTCCCCCTTCGCCCCGCCTCGCATTCTCCTCCCCCCTTCCCCGGCCCCGCATTCCCCTCCCCCCCGCCCCGCATTCCCCTCCCCCCTGCCCCGCATCCGCCTCCCTCCCCACCCCAGCCCAGCCCCGCCCCCTGGGCCCATCTAGCCCAGTATCCCGCCTGCCGAGGGGGGGGTTACGGGCTCTGACCTTCTTCTTCAGCTTAGCGAACTTCTTCTGCAGGGCCTCCTCCTCCTCGGTGAGGGCGGGGGGCAGGACGAGCATGGCGGGGGGCAGAACTGGGAGCAGGACAGGGAGACTCGTGGGGGGGCTGTTCCGGGGCGAGCCCCCGGCGCTGCCTCGGGTCCGGTCGCAGGCACTGTGGGTCCTGCCCAAGGGAAGACAGAGCCGTGACTCCAGGGGGCTGCTCAGCTCCTCCCCCCGCCCCCCGGAAAGTACCCACAATCCCCCGGGGAAGCCTTTCACCAGCACCCACAATGCACTGGGGCAGCCCCCACCTTCTCCCACAAGGCAGCCTTGCTGGCGAGAGTCCAGAATGCCCCAGGGCGCCTGGGGTGCAAGGGACCCTGCCAATCCCACAATGCACCTGCTCTACCCACAATGCCCCAGGCCTAGGTCAACTGACACTCGCCATGGGCACTGCCGGCCTTCATTACACCTGGCCCCCAGCCAATCTCAGCCGAGATACCGCCATCCCATAATGCCCCTGGGGTGCGCCAGCCAATCCCGCACTGCCCTGCAACTCTGCCAGTCAGCAACAGCGGCCAACGCCGCCAGCCTTCCCCAGCATGCACCAGGACAGCCCCGCTACCGCTCCCAAGATGCACTGGGGCCGACGCCAACTCCCCCCGCGCCCCATCACCCCTGCTACCGCTCCCATGATGCACTGGGGCCGACGCCAAC